AGAGCAACTGTGATGATTCATTTTGTATTAGGAAAAGTGAAACAAGGAGAACAACGCGTAGGTGTTTATGAGTGAACAACTTCCTTATTGTACAGTCAATCGATAATTATTACTTCCTTATAGTCATCTATCATTTCCAATTATGTAGTGAATCCTCAGTGTGTGGAACCATGCATGTTGATTTCCGAACCAAAACCTGTATACGCCACTTTTTGACACCGGTACAGTATCGCCGAACGGCACCATAGTCGGACCGGGGATCTTCTGAAAAAACGAGATTCGAGTGGCCGGGCTTGTAGATAATAGACTGATTGATCAGAAGAAGAGGCTGCTCAACTATTTGTGGTGATCAGGTATCAAACCTAGAAGGAACTTGTCGAAATTAATCCGCTGGATCAATCTCGCTAGTAGGTAGGGCTAAGCCGTTGTAAAAGTTGCAGATCTGCGTTCTCAAGGTCCGAAAGGAAGTGGGAAGCGCGCTAGGGCCTAGCATTGGTCATCACTGGTCATATCACTGGCTCGAACTGTCCCTCCTATGGAGCGGCTCCATGAGTCTCCTCCCTCTCCTACGGTCTGCTCTCTCGCATCCATTTTCTCAGCGCGCCTTGTCTCTCTCCCAAACGGCAGTCGACCTTAAAAGAAGACTCATGATTTTGGTGTTTTAAATGGTTTCTATTGTTTTTTTCTTCGGCGCCAATCCTCTCAGCACCACCACTTTCATTTTCGAGAGAAATTCCACGAATTTTGAGTGCTCGGCGGGCCCTCAAGCGAAGAATGTTACCATTATCGTGAGCGGTCCGAAAGTCTCACTGTGCTACAACGGTTCCACTCACTTCACAAATCCCACCTATCAATCAGGGCACGGAATCTCTTTCCTGCATATTCTTCTGCGTGAAGCATGATGAGTGAGTTAAAATGAATGTGCGTGCCGTCACATTTAGCTTTCCTTAACATGGGCCTACTAGTATAGAACAAAGCTTTGGCAGCTCCTGTAAAGCTTGACTAGGCGACTATTTGCACACCTGAAGACGTGACCACGACGAGTGCAGATGAGTCGGTAGTGCTCCTGCATAGTTCGCCCTTTGAACGCGGCCTCAAGCAGCCGCCCGCAGCAGCGGGAGCACTCCCACTCGTCCACGCTCGCCGCGGCCACGCCTTTAGGTGTGACAAAGGTCATAGATCCGGGAAACTCCCCGTTCTAAGATCGAAATGGGACGATTTTTGTCGAACCTTTCGTTGTTGACCGTTTCTGACCGCAAATTTTGAAAATGCAAAAAAAGCCACATGCTTAGGGTATAGCAATGTTGATAGAGACTCACACTGAAAAGTGGGTAGAACTTCTTCATCTGACTAATATCGTCGGTTTCCTCGTCTTTATTCACCTCGTAGATCGTGAATGCAAAGTGCCCGTTGGCATGAAGTTCCCACGAGAGATGCGTTCCCTAGAAAAAAAGTAGATCGGAGAACTGGAATAATAGAACAGGGGGGGGGAACCAACGAATAAGTGGGGTAGTTGAGGG